GATTAAAGCACAGGCAAAAGGTTAAGATTTAAAGCACATTATTTTTGGAGACACAATTCAAGTCCTAACAGATGCTATGTGAATACCTTATATTTTGTGTACTGGTCTTGTATCTTGCAACCTTGCTGAATTAATTTATTCATTCTAATTGTTTTTTAGTAGATTTCTTAGGATTTTTTACATACAAGACTATAATTTGAAAATATGTTCTTACTCCTTTTTTTCCAATCTGGATGTTTTTATTTCTTTTTCAGACCTTATTGCTCTGGTTAGAACCTCCAACACAGTGTTGAATAGACGTGAAAAGAACAGACATTCTTTGCCCAACACCCTAAAATTTGAACATATCAGTTCTTTTGTCTTTCCTTTTTCCTGTCGAACTTTTCCGTTTGTATGAGGTGATTAGAAAAGACCATGGATTGGGTCAAATGAACCTGACTCATCAAAGTGACATCTTTGCTTTTTAAAACTTTAAAGAGGTCTTTGGCAGCAGATTTACCCTGTGCAGTATGGCATTTGATCTCTTGACTGCTGGTTCAATCAGTTGTTTTTGTTGTTGGGTGCTGCTCAGTTCATTATGACTCATGGAGATTCTATGTGACAATGTGGAACTGCCCTGAGTAAATTGCCAGACCTTTGTCCTATGGAGCCACCGGGTGGGTATGAATCTTTGACCTTTCAGCTCGTGGCCAAGCACTTAACCACTGTGCCACCAGGACTTGTTTCCTTGATCCAACCCTTAGCTCCTGTGTCCGTGAATTTTTTTCCAAAGAAATTCTATCTTCTATTTCTTTGCTGATACTTACCATTTCTCGGGTGAAAATTTTTTATACATTGAAATAATTTTGTTTTTCTTCATTGAGGATACTTATTATAAATGTTATTGTTGTTAAGTGCCATCGAGTCGGTTCCGACCCATAGCGACCCTGTATAGGGTTTCTGAGGAGCAGCTGGTGACCTTGAACCACTGGCCTTGCAGTTCAAATGACACTGCAGTCTGGCGCATTAACCCACAACACCACACCAGGACTCCATACTATAAATAGCCACTTCAAAATTTGTGTTCTTTAGTTCCAGCATCTGGTTCATTTTAGGGTCAGATTCAGTTGATTTTCTTTTCTCTCCAGAACGTTGTTTATTTTTTTTGGTTTTTCATTGTTGGGTAACTTTGGATTGTACCCTGGATATTATGTTAAGTTGTGGTGAGTCTGAGTTCTCTTATTTTCCTCCTTTGAGTATTATTTCCTTTGTTTCAATGGGTTTTTTTGTTGGTAGGACTTACCTCCAATTTCTGTCTGTTGAAATCTTTTTTTTTTTTTTGCCTTTACTGGGGCTGCTTTCAATCTGTACTGTGCACTTGTGGGTCAGGAGTTCATGAGAGATGTGGGTAGATAGAGTTTGGGAAGTCTTTTCTCCAACTTTTCTGCTTTAGTTTCCAGACTTTTCTTTCTTGTTTGAGATCAGATAGAATTCATTTTTTCACCCCCACTAGTCATCCAAACCAAACCTCATGCCATAAAGTCCATCCTAATTCATAGAAGACCCTATGTTGTCTTTTTGTTTTGTACCTTTGAGGTGGTTCCAACTCATAGTGACCCCTGTGCACAACAGAAAAAAACACTGCCGGGTCCTGTCCCATCCTCATCATTGTTACACTTGAGCCCATTGCTGTTGCTATGGTGCCAACCAATCTATCTTCTTCAGGGTGGGGGGTCTTCATCTTTCCCACCAACTCTCCACTTTACCAAGCATGCTATCCTTGTCTGTTCAAGGACTGGCTCCTCCTGGTAGCATGTCCAAAGCATGAGAGACAAAGTCTCGCCATCCTGGGTTCTAAGGAAAGAACGAATAAATCTTCTAACACAGATTGGTTTGTTCTTCTAGCAATACCTGGTACTTTTAATATTCTTCTCCAACACCATAATTCAAATGCATCAATTCTTTTTTACAGTTTTTCTTATTCATTTTTTAATTTTTTACATGCATATCATATGCATATGAAGCTACTGAAAATACCATGGTGTGGGTCAGGTGCACCTTGGTCCTCAAACTGCTATCTTTGCTCTTGAACACTTTAAAAAGAGGTCTTTTACAGCAGATTTGCCCAATGCAATATGTCATTTGATTTCTTGACTGCTGCTTCCATGAGTGTTGGTTGTGGATCCAAGCAAAATGAAGTCTTTGACAACTTCGATCTTTTGTCTGTTTATCATGAAATTATTTATTAGTCCAGTTGGGAGATAGTCTTTGGTGTTTTTTGTTTTTACTTTTCATTGTGAATTGAGTGAAGGTTTACAGATAAGATCATCAGTTTTACAGTCAACAAATCATAGACTTTGTTTCATCGCAATGATTGCAATCTCCTCCATGGAACAACAGTTATCCCGCTTCCTCTCTGTGGCTCCTATTCCCCTTCCATCCACCTTCCCATCCTTGTCCTTAGGTACATGTTGCCCCTTTGAGTTTGAATGATTGACCATTCCATTCTTCATACTGAGCATATCTTACTAGTGTTGTTGTTTTCCTGATACCCCTCTTTACTGCTTGGCTGAAAGTGGATGTGTTCCTTTCCAGACCTGAATGGTGATTGAGTGCCACAGTCTCTTTTGGACCAGTAAGCTCGGTCTTTTAATTTTGTTTGAATAATTTTGAGTTTTGTTCCACACATTATGCCGCTCTATCCAGGATCTACTAATGTGATCCCCTTTCAGAGTGGTTGGCAGCTGTAGCTGGGCACCATCTAGTTCTTCTGGTCTCTGGGTCGTGAAGACTGATGTTCACATGTTCCATTAGTCCATCGGACTAGTTGAAAGACTATAGTCTTTGATCTTCATGAGTATTTTAAGTCCTCTTCACTTCCAGCAAGTAAGGTTGTATCATATGTATATTGCAGGTTGTTAATGGAGTCTTGCTCTAATCCTGATGTCATGCTTTTTTTTTTTTTTTCATATCATCCAGCTTCTCGGATTATTTGCACAGTATAGAGACACCCTATAAGACAGTAGAATGGTCCCATAGGGTTTCCAAGGCTGTAATTTTTTTTTTCAGTACATCCTTTTTATCTTCAGAACTCCCCCCAAATATTTTATTTTAGTAGGTGGCATATTACAGATGAGGGTATGTGTAAACATTAGAAACTATTCATTCGATCGAAATCTTTTCAGTTTATACGTTAACTGTAAGAGAGGAGGGCAGGTGAACATCTTACCTACTACCAGCTCAGTGTAGAAATCATTTAGTAGTAAATGATTCCTATCACAACGTTTCCAAGTACAGATTCAGATTTACAATTACCATGATAAGTTCTGTCTGATACAAATGGGAGAATACATTTGCAATGAACAAGAATACCTTTTATGCATGAGTTCAGGGCGCACAGAAGACTGTTCCCATAATATTTAAATACCCTCAGTAAAAAGAAGTCCCAAGGCAGTAATTTTTACTACCATATCTTTCGTTCTCCCTTAAAGCAACTGGTAGATTCAAACTGTCCACCTTTCAGTTAGCAAGTGAGCACTTGGCCACTCTGCCACCAAGGCTTTTGATGTTTGTCCCAGCTTCCAAATATTTGTGCCAAGGAGAATCCCCAGAGTAATGCCTTCAGGACGGGTCTTGCCTGTATTCTTCTTACCTATATAGCGACCAAGCTAGTGCTTACTCCCCACCAGACTGACAGCTGCTGCCTCCCCAGCACCTTCTCCATGCCTAATGCATTCCAGTGTGTCACCCAGCTCAACATTCTCGGGTTTTCTGCAGGCGGGGACCTCATCCTGTAGGGTCTTTCTATGTCTTATCAGAAGCGGAGCTCCCACGCCTGTGTTTCATGGCCCTCACCCTAACCAACCAACCACGAAAGCCCCCAGCTGTCTCCCAGTGCAGCGGGAAGTCTGTTAACAAAAGATTAATTAATGGGCTCATTAAGCTTGCAAGTGGATCTTGCCTGCCAAGGGGCCCCAGGCAGGTCCCCACTGTGGTGGCTGCATCTGTTGGCACCATGGGGCTAGGTCTCCCAAAGGAGCTGTTGACAGGCTGCTGCCCCCAGGAGCCATAGGCCTGGGAGTTGCAAGGCTTCTCTGTTCTTGTGCTGTGGGGTTCAGGGCAAGTTGCTGGTACTCTCAGGGGATGACGACCATCAAGGGGTCTGGCATGAGGGAGTGAATGCCCCTTGAGGCTCCTGTCCCCATCCCCACCAGCGCTCTGAGCTGTGCAATACCAGGGCCTCCCAGAGAACTTCAGGGAGTGGGGGAAGCAAAGATAGGTACAGAAACTCGACCAGGTAATGTGTGTCTGTTGTGACAGAGCATGGCCACGTGGGACTGCTGGGGACACTGAGGCAGGTCTTACCCCAAATAAGCTGTTCCCAGGGAGAGCTTGGGGGAGAGACAGGGGTCTGGGCAGAGACACAGCAGAAGGGAAAGTCTGGGAGCTTCAAAAAGACTGAGTAGAAGTGGGTTTGGGTGAGAATCAGCGGGAAGGTGGTTTCTGAGTTGTCTAGGTTCTGAGGTGCCCACCTTCTGTGAGCGAGTTTGTCTTTAGGTGCTGGGGGGCAGTGGCCTTCTAGCTCTGAGCAGTGGCACCCAGAGGTGTCCAGCAGGGCTTGTGGGTTTTGTGGGGCTTTCCCAAGAGTGGGGCCCTCACCGCTCAGCTTTCAGGGCTTCTGGGATTTCCACAGGGGCACATGTGGGAAGTGTGGGAGTGGGGGCGGGCCCCTGCTGGCTTATGTACTCATTTTCACATTCTCCCAACCCCAGTCTTGGGGTGAGGGCTCCTTTTGGGATGAGGGTTAGGGGCGGAAGGAGGTTTAGGGTAAGGGTAGGAGTGGGGCATTTCTCTAGGCCTCAGTTTCCCCATCTGGAAATGGGGAGAAATGCCCCAACTAACAAAAAATTTCCTGTGGAGTGTTTGTGGGGGGTGGTGATAGAAGGGATTGGGAGGCAGTGAGCAAGGGGGGGCCGGGTCCCAAGAGAGCTCTGCCCACAACGTTCTCTGCCTCTGTTTAGGCACGGAGTTCGAGTACACAGACTCAGAGAGCGAGGTAAAGGTGCGAAAGCGCTCGCCCACTGGGCTGCTGCGGCCCAAGAAAGGACTTGGGGAGCCTGGGGCCAGTTTGGCGGGGCCAGCACCCAGCGCCCGCGGCCCTGCCAGTCCAGAAAAGGCGAAGCTCGCAGCAGAAAAGGGACGCAAAGCACGCAAGCTGCGAGGTCCCAAGGACGCAGGCTTCGAGGCAGGGCCCGAGGTCAGCGACGACGACCTGTGGACGCGGCGGCGCAGTGAGCGTATCTTCCTGCATGATGCCTCTGCCCTCGCGCCCCCTGCGCCCCCCGCAGCCCCTGCGCCCAAGGCTCCACGCTGTGCCAAGGGCGGTGCCCTGAGCCCCCGAAAGGATGCAGGCCGCGCCCGGGACAGGAAGGACCCCCGCAAGGTAGGGTGGCAGGGGCGGGCAGCGGGAGGCCTCCTCCAGCCTGGGCGTTGTGGTCACTCACTGCTGGCTATCCCTCCAGGGCACCTTCCACGCCTTTAGGCTCTTTATTTATGTTTATACCGTGGACCCCTTTGGCATTCTGACTTAGAGTAACCTTTTAAAAATCGGTTCCATTGTGATCAGTTCCATATTACATAAAGTTGTTGTTGTTAGGTGCCATTGAGTTGGTACTGACCCATAGCTTTAGAAGGATACATAAAGTTAGCCCTTTTAAATAATTTTTTTTTCATATTAATTTATTTTATCGGTCTTTTGAAATGAAATTTTTTAGCTTGGATCTATAATCTCTTGTTACTAGAAAGCTTTGCCAACTTCTTTTATGTGTTATTGTTTGCCTTTTTTTTAAACAATCTTTTAACTGTACAGCTTGGTGACGTTAATTGTGACACAATGGTTAAGCACTCGGCTATTAACAGAAAAGAAGAAGTTAGTGATTTAAACCCACCCAGCTGCGATCTGCTCCCCTAAAGATCACCCAATGGGGCAGGTCTGCTCTTTCATGTGGGGCTACTCGACTTGATTGCACCGAATATGTGCAGCCGCCATGTTATGCAACCATCAGCACAATTTCCAAGACATTTTTATTTTCCCAAATAGGAAGGAACTCAATACTCCTTCAGCCCTAAATTCTCATTTCCTCCTTCCCCAGCTCCTGGTAACCACCACTAAATGCTTGTCAACACATTTGCTTAGTCTAGATACTCCATGTATAAGTGTGGTCATACAACAATTGTCTGTTTGTATCTGGCTTGTGTTGACACTAAGCATAGTATTTTCTGGGTCTATCCATATCACAGCATGTATTAGAACCTCATTCCTTTTTATGGCCAAATAACATTCCACTGAATAATTAAACGACATTTTGGTTTTCCATTCATCTGTTGGTGGACACGTGGGTTATTTTCAACTATTGTGAATACTACTGTTCTGAGCATGGGCATGTACAGATGTCTATTTGAGTCCCTGCTTTCAGACCTTTCGGGTATATATACATATATCCAGGAGGGGAATTGCTGGGTCATCTGAATAATGCTCAGAGAGCAGGGTCTGAAATGGGGGTGGATGTGGGTAGGAACTAGCCACACCTCAGGTTACCCAGGAGAGCATGGGGAAAAAGAAGATTTTGTGCCATTTTCTTTGGGCAAATCTGCTCTGCCAAGCCTCCTTCTGCTGCCAAAATTGCTCACAAGATGGTCAAAACCACATCTAGCCAGCTCCCTCCCTCCATTTCTGCTCAACCTCTCTTCCCTGCAAGCAATCCATGCACCTCTCTAATCTGTCTTCTGAAGTTTAGGGGGCCAGAGTTTTCATTTATGTGTTTTGTTTTGGCTCTCATATCTTTGTTGTAGAGGGTCTGTGTAGTGCGTCTGCCTAGTCCGCCATCTTGTTGGAAGTCCATACCGCTTTTAAGAGCATAAAAGTTCGATTTTTTTTCCTGAATCAAGAGAGCCCCTGAGTTATGCTCTGAGTCTGCTTTTTCCCAGCATACCCGATTCCCATGCTATTGGTGGCTGTAATAGAAGCATTTGGTTTCATGTATGCATGCCCCTGAGTTTCCCCCCAACAAGTTGCTGGGCATTTAGGTTGTTTCCAACTTCGAGGCTTTGATAATAAAGCTGTACACTCCCAGTGAGAACATCTTACACTTCATCTCAGATCATTCCATAGTATACATTTTTTGTTTTAATTTTCACTAGACTTTGTTTTTTAGAGGAGTTGTAGGTTTATGGAGAAATTGTGCAGGTAAATTCTCATAAGGCTTCTTTCTCTCTTCTACCCACACCAGCGATCAGTTGCTGTTGAGTCGACTGACTAGTGGTGCCATTGTGTGTGTCAGAGTAGAGCTGAGCTTCTTAGGGTTTCCAGTGACTGCTTTTTTGGAAGTAGATTGCCAGGTCTTTCTTCTGAAACACCTCCGGGTAGACTCAAGCTTCCAACCTTAACTGAACACATGAACCATTTGCACCACCCAGGGACTACAATTTCCCTATTATTATCCTCTTTTATTCCTGTGGCACATTTGTCATAGTTAATGAACCAGTATCTGTATATTATCATTAACTGGAATCCTGGTGTGGTGCTAGAGAATAAACACTGGACTGCAAGGTCAATTTGAACTGCAATGTCGGCTGTTCAAATTCACCAGACTCTCCTTGGAAACCTTATACGCGGACGCTATGAGTCGGAACTGACTCGAGGGCACTTAACAACAACAAAGTCTGTAAAGTTAGGGTCCTCTCTGTGTGGACAGCTCTGTGGGTTTTGACAGATGCTTAATGTCATGGAACACATTGTGTTATGTAGTTTGGTTTTGACTGTGGTAAAATATAAAGAGTATATTTTGCTATTTTAGCCATTTCAAGGATTGTTGTTGCTATTATTGTTAAGTGCCATCAAGTCGGTTTTTCCAACTAGTGACTCTTATAGGGTTTCCAAGGAGCGGTTGGTGAGCTTGAACCACCGACCTTGTGGTTCAAACCGACTTTGCAGTTGAGCGCATTAACAAACAGCGCCACACCAGGACTCCGTTTTTCAGGGTACGGTGACATTATCTTCACCAGGTTGTGCATCCATCACTGCTGTGCAGCTCCAAACCTTTTCACCCTCTCAAACAGAAACTCAGTATAGGCAGTAACTCCCCGCAGCCCATTGTTGTTCCTGACTCATAGCAATTCCATATGGCATTTCCGAGGCTACAAATCTTTGCAGGAGCAGAAAGCTTCATCTTTTTCCCAAGGAGGGCTGGTGGGCTCGAACCATCAGCCTGTGGTTCAAAGTCCAGTGTTTATCCTTTAGCCCCTGGCAACCACTAACCCGCTTTGTCTAGGACCCATTATTGATGCTATTGTTTAGTAAGGACCTAATTGTTGTTATTGATTTAATGTGGAAATTTATCTGTAACAAAACATTTACCATTTCAAGCAATCGTTGTATATTCTTGTTCCTATGGCTGTTGAGTCAATTCTGATGTACAGGGACGCTATAGGACGGGATGGAGTCTTGGTGTGGCGCTGTGGGTTAATGCGCCAGACTACAAGACCTGCAAGGTTGGTGGTTCAAGCTCACCAGCTGCTCCTTGGAAACCCTAAGCAGGGTCGCTATGGGTCGGAACCGACTTGACAGCACTTAACAACAACGACAGATAGGACAGGGTGGGGTCCTGGTGTGGTGCAGTAGAACTCGACCTCAAGGTCGTTTTGAGCCACAAGATCAAACTCGCCAGTCTCCTTGGAAACCCACTAACAGGGTCGCTATGCTTCGGAACCCACTTGACAACACTTCACAACAACAACACAGGACAGGGTAGAACTGCCTGATAAGTGTTTCCAAGGCTGCGGAGTCCTGGGGTGGTGCTGGAGGATAACTTCTGAACTTTAAACTGTAAGGTCGGAGGGTCAAGCACACCAGCTGCTTCTTGGAAACCCTATACAGAGCTGCTATGGGTCGGAACTGACTCGAGGACACTTAACAGCAGCAACAAATCTTTACAAGGCACACTGCCACATCTTTCTCTCATGGAGCAGCTGGTACCTTCAAAGTGCAGATCTTTCGGAGCGCAGCCGAGCGCTTAACCATGGTGCAACTAAAGCTCCTTTGTGTTCGCATAGCATTTGTGGTATTTACGTGGTTGCATATGCTTGTGGAACGTTCTGGAAAGGAAGTGGTCACTAGAGATTACATCTGTGTGGTTGGTAGGGTAGTTGGTGAGGAACTGGCATAGCCTTATATGACTTAATGTTTATAATTTTCACAATAAGTAATACAGAGTAAAGAACCCTGGCAGCACAGTAGTTAAGCACTTAGCTACCACCAGGAAGGTTGTTGTCTTCAGGAGTGACGGAAGTAGCAATCCGTCCCCATAAAGATGACAGCTTAGGAAACCCTATGGGAACAGTTGTGTTCTGTCATAAAGGGCCACTATGATTGAAGTCATTTCGACAGCAAACAACAATATAGCGTAGTAATAAAAACAATTGCGTGGAAAAACAATTTTGCAGGGAGGAGAGAAAGTGGCTTGGCCCTCTCTCAGCAACATTACAGGGTGTTGGAAGTGGCGAGAGTGAGTGGGAATAGAATCTGAGTCTGGGTAGGAATGGAGGTCTCCTCTTAGGCTGGAAGCCCAGGTCTGGCCACCTGCCACTTGTCTGTTTTCCTTCCTGCAGAAGAAGAAAGGGAAGGAGACGGGGTCAGTAGCAACACCACCGCCGCCCCGGGCACCCACCTTGCCCTCCGAGGCCCGGGTCCCTCATACCAGCTCCCTGGCCACCACCAAGAGGAGCAAGACCAAAGCCCGGGGGAAAGAGGTGAAGAAGGAGGTGAGGCATCACACCCTGCTCCAGGTGTGAGAGGTCCAGGTGTCAGGGTACAGCAATCCAACCACCATGCCCCAACCACATTCCCAGGGTCCTCTCTGTCTAAAGGGCTCTTGTTTGGACCTTATCCTGATGACAGTCCCAGAGACAATGAGGTATGACTCGGTCTCTGAGGATAAATAAGACTCAGTTCCTGTCCCCAGAATGAGAGGTACCAGTGACGCCCCACCTGACAGCTGAGTGAGGGCCCCCCGGTGCCCCCCAAGATGTACCTGCTCATGCCTGCTCCTCACACCACCTAGCCCAGGTCCCTACCTTCCTTTCAGGGACTGCTGAAGTGCCTTTCATTGTCTCTGTGCGATATTCACTCTAGCCCAGCATTGAGCCCTGGCCAGAGGGTCGCAGGCATGGCGTCAGGGGTGAAGTCCCCTCATGCAAATGGCCAGTGCAGTCCGCAGAGCGCCTGCCGGGCACCTTGGTGTTTTACAGAGGGTGCCCAGCCCTCCTTTGACCTGGGATCTGCTCCGGTCTATTCCAGAACCGTGGTAAAGGGGGTGCGGTGAGCAAGTTGATGGAGAGCATGGCTGCCGAGGAGGACTTTGAACCCAACCAGGACTCCAGCTTCTCCGAGGACGAGCACCTCCCACACGGTGGAGCCCTGGAGCGGCCCTTGACGCCAGGTGTGTGTCCATGCTGAGGTGGGGCCATGGGTGGCTCAGGCTTGGCTTTGGGAGGTTTCCGTGGGCCTGTTGGATCTGAGTCAAGGCCCAAGACTCCTGGGGTGGAGCTGGCAAAGGGTTGGAGATGTGGGTGGCAGAGCTGTTCCTCTCTCATTGCCACACATTGCCCCTAAGGTTCCTATTGAACTTTGCGAGTTGCCCTTGTGAATTTTATCCTATATAGATCTTAAAAGAGCACAATGCTCAAGGCAGACAGACATTCGCCCATATATGGAGTTTGCATAATCCCAAACTCTTGTTTGGTTTTAAGACAACTTGAGAGATTTTTTTGGCGTAAGGTTTAAAGTTGATCTCAGGGCATTAATTTGGGGAATTCATCCAGCCACCATGGTGCCAGAAAGCCTGAATTCCATTAGAATTTAAAATTCTGTTCTGCATAATCCCCCCCCTTTGATCAAGATTCTTTTTTAGAATTTTTGATCAAAATGTTTAGCAATAGCTAGGCACTATCTAGTTCTTCTGGTCTCATGATGAAAGAAGCAGGTATTCAAGGTCTTGTCTCCTGACATTACTGTTATGAAGTGCCCTTGAGTCAGTTCTGACTCTTAATGACCCTGTGTAGGGTTTCCGAGGAGTAGCTGGTGAGTTTGAACTACCATCCTTATGGTTAGCAGTCCAGTTAGGATTTGGCCCACCCCACTCTATTATGGTGTCGTTAAGTGCCGTCAAGTTGGTTGCAACTCATAGCGACCCTGTATAGGGTTTCCGAGGAATAACTGGTGAGTTTGAACCACCAACCTTGTGGTTCAAACTGACCTTGCTGTACAGGGCATTATCCCTCAGTGCCATGCCAGGACTCCAAAGTCTCCTGCGGAGCAGTTGGCAGGCTCAGACTGTGGATCTTGTGGTTGGCAATCCAGAGCTTATTGTACAGAGCCACTAGGCTCCTATTTCTAAGCACATTCACAGATACTGGGGGTCTTTGTGAGAATAGTTTTGTGGGCGTGAGGGATTGGACTTGTTCCGAGGGATGAGAGAGAGAGGAAGGAGAAGGCAGGGGCAGGGAAGTCTGGCTGGAGGGATTGAGTAAGGCCTGTCTGAGCTCCTAGGTGTGGCTGTGGTTGGAAGTAGCAAGGGTGGCTGGGCCTGGAAGGGAGAGAGTTCTAAACTCAATTTGACCCTGATCAGGGATTGCGCAGGTGGAGGACCCATGGGCAGTGTATGTCTTTGGGATTGGGGTTGCTCATACCTGGAATCTTTCTGGACATGTGGGGCCAGGGAATGGGGATTGGGTTAGGGTCCTGTGTGTCTCCATACAGACATGTGAGAGGGGATGGGCAGACACGGGAGGAGTGCTGCCCCTCACCTGACTGTCCCCTCCCTTAGCCCCCCGCTCCTGTGTCATCGACAAGGACGAACTCAAGGATGGCTTAAGAGTGCTTATTCCCATGGATGACAAGCTGCTGTATGCTGGGCATGTGCAGACTGTGCACTCACCTGACATGTGAGTGAGCGTCAAATCGAGGGGGTGCTGGATCAGCATGGGGGCCTGCCCCTGGCTTTCTCCAGGGCACAGGTGAGGAAGAGCAAGAGTGAGAGTTAGACTCTCCTGAGATGTGGGTTGGACAGGGTCAGCTTGCTCTACCACCTCCACCAGTAGCCATCAAGTCACTTCCAAGTCACGGCGCCCCATGTGTATCAGAATAGAACTGCACTCCATAGGCTTATCAACAGTTGGTATTTTTTGGAAGTAGATAGCCAGGTCTTTCTTCCGAGGAGCCTCTGGTTAGCTATTGAAATGCATTAACTGTTTGCACCACCCAGCCCAAAGCCAAAACTACTGCTATCAACTTGATTCCGACTCATAGGGACCCTGTTAGAGCAGAACGGGGTCTGTAACTCCAGAGGGTTTTGAAACTGTGAATTGCCACATCTTTCTCCCGTAGAACAACTCGTGGGTATAAACCATTGATCTTGGGGTTAGCAGCCCAATGCTTAACACACTGTGCTTCCTGGGCTGGGGCTACAAAAACCAGTTGCCATGGGCTTGATTCCCGCTCATGGTGGTCCCATGTATGTCAGAGTAGATCTGCTTTCCATGGGGCTTTCCGTGGCGGAGGTTCTGGAAGTAGATTGCTAGGCCCTTCTTTCCGAACTCAAACCTTCAGCTTTCCAGTTAGCAGCTGAGCACATGGACCGTATAATCTCCCCTTCCCACCTACTTACACAAGTGAGGAAATGGAGATCCAGAAACGGGGGAAGGCTTGGCCCCTTTTTCTGCAGCAAATCAGCCAACCTTCAAATTCGGTTCCTGGGCCCAGTGCTCTGGGGGAGAGTTACAGGTGGTGGGCCCAGGGTCCTCAGGCCTGGGAAAGGTTCCCGCTGCAGGGGTCTCGGGCCTCTGCCACCAACACACCCACCTTGAACCTGGCCTTGCAGATATCGCGTGGTTGTGGAGGGCGAGCGTGGGAATCGGCCCCACATCTATTGTCTGGAACAGCTGCTACAGGAAGCGGTGAGGGGGACCGGGCCTGGGAGGGTCCAGAGGGAGGCTGAGGCGGTGACTTTGAACCTGCCTGAGCCTCTGCCTGGTGCTCACACACACGCTCTCCTCAGATCATTGATGTGAGGCCGGCCTCCACACGCTTCCTGCCCCAGGGGACCCGGATTGCCGCCTACTGGAGCCAGCAGTACCGCTGCCTATACCCGGGCACCGTGGTTCGAGGTGAGTTGACCCTTCCCAGGACTTCCCTGTCTGCTAATGTATCAATGTGGCTTCTCTTGGTCACCCAAACTCAACTGTAATTGGCTGTCTTAGGCTGATAGTACTGCTGTAACAAAGATGCCACACAGCGGGGATTTGAACAAGCGGAAATTGATTTTCTCACAGTGGAGGAGGTTATAGATGTTACTTCAGAGCCTGGGTCCCAAAGAGAGGCTCTCTGTCTGCTCTGGACGAAGAGCCTGTGTCTTTCAACTTAGCTTCCTTGGCAATCTCCGCATGGTATCCATCTTGCCCTCATTTGTACTTGTCTTTGCATCGAATCTGCTCCTTTTAGATCTCAAAGTCATTAGGTTCATTCAGATATACCAACACGGCTTCAGTGACAAAACAGATCAGACCCTCTTCTCAAAAGAGATAGCCACCCAGCCAGTTCCAACCCACAGTGGCCTGTGGGACAGAGTGCAGCTGCCCCAGACTGTGCCCCTTATACCAGCAGATTGCCTCATCTTTTTCCCGTGGAGGCAGGCGCTGGTGGGTTTGGAATACTGACCTTTCCATTTGCAGCCAAATGCCTTACCTACGGCTCCACCAGGCCTTTTGACGAGAGGTGTAGGCTTCTAATACATATTGGGGGACACCATGCAATCCATAACATTGATTGAAGCATGAAGAACTCACCCATCCATGGCTGTCAAGGCAAATCTGAATCCCAGTCAGCCTGCCAGACAGAGGAGAACTGCGCACAGGCTATAAATCTTCATGAGAGCAGACTGCCACATCTTTCTCCTGTGGAGTGACTGGCGGGTTCCAATTGCGACCTTCTGGCTCACACAACTGAAAACTAGTGGGCGTTTAGGTGTGGTGGGTCCCAGTGCCATTGAGAAAATGTCACTGGAACTTAGCTCTCTGCATCTGTCGTCAGTTTTCTCGTCTGTGCCAACTCCATGCAGACAAAGGTGGCTCTCAACAACCGGTTATCCAAGACGTGCTCACTCACAATGTTTCTCATACGTGACGGCGTCACACTGAACTGATCTGAGTTCTGAGGTTATCGCTGAACTCTTCCTCGGACCCTGACTAACCCTGGCTCATGGCCTCATTCCTGGAGCTAAGGCTTACATCGGCTTCCTCTTAAAGAGGGAGATGGAGAAGTTGACTTCCCAGAGAAAACTGGACTGTTGTAGCCAGAATAAGAGAATGGATGCTGGGTAGAAAATAGATACCCCAAAGACGTAGGCTGAGAAGAGCGGCAGATCCTTAAAATGACACATCCTGAGCTTATTACAAACCCACCCCACCCAGAACATGGCGGTATGCATCCCAGTTAGAGGGGGAAAAAAACAGCAAGATGCCAAACACAGCCCACCCCTTGGCTCGCTAGCATCTATTTATTGTATGATAGGGTTTCCAAATATTTCTGGAAAAATTCCATTACCTTTTCGTTATTTCTCCTAGAACCTTTTAAAGTCCCCTTGTATAGTTGATTGTCATTATTCATGCAGTTCCGTTCTGTCAGGTTGCCGTGAACATGGGACCAGTCCTGTTTGACCTCAGCTGGAAATGAGAGTGTGGAGCAGATCAAGCTTTGCGCTGCTCTCTTGGCATACATGTCCACAAAAATGGCCCTAAGTATTGATTTGGAGATTAGGAAGAACTTTTAGTCAGTAGGCAAATGTGCAAATACAGAATCTACAAATAATGAGGATGAACTGTACAAGGGGGCTTCAAGCAGTTTGTGGAAAAGAGAAATGAAAACCCAAGTCACTTGCTGTAGATTCACTTCGGACTCATAGTGAACCCTATAGGACAGTAGGAAATCCAAGAGTGTCCTAGACTGCGGTCTTCATGGGAGCGGATTACCCACCAGGGCTGTTTCCTGAGGAGATGCTGGTTCAAACCTCAGACCTATCATTTAGCAGCTGAACATGAGCACTTAACCACTGTGCCACCAGGGCTCTTCAGAAAAAAAGAGATTCTCGAAGCAAAACAGTAGCTATCTAATACGATCTTAGATCTGGATATAGGATGTTGAGCTACGTAGACCTGCATGTGCACTGATGGGCCGGGCTGTCAGAGCCTTCACAAAACCTAACAGGCTTTAATATGGTAGAAGTATGTCGTGGGCTCACATCTCCTGGAGGCTGTGCTCCCATGTACCATGATGGACCAGCTTGCTCCTCACACAAAGTAGAACTGCGCCATACGGATTTCTTGGCTATATTCTTTTACAGAAGTACTTTGCCAGGCCTTTCTTCCAAGGTGCCATTGGGTGGGTTCGAACCTCCAACCTTTAGATCAGCAAGTGAGCGCAAACTGATTAGACCACCCAGGGACTTTCTTTTCCCTATTGTCAGTCCTATTGCCCTCAAACCTCTTATTTCTGGGGCTGTAGGATTAACGTCCGGCATTTTGGGGAAGGAGCTGGGTGTGACCATTCAGGCTGTGGTGTTTTGGGTTATCTTTGGGCTTGGTGCTTGCTCACCATTTTCAAGTGTACGCTCACCTAGCCCACCAGCCTCCCCTGGACCTAATATCTTTTAGTGTAGAGTCGTTCTGACAATAAACCTCCAGCTCCTACGGCTCAGGACTGCAGTCTGGTCACTATTTGGTGTCCCTATGCCCCTGCCTCTGAGGTGGTGGGTGTCTTCCCTCCAGATACTAGACAGAGCAGAGGACTCTGACACTAACACCACATCCTCTCCTGTTCCACCTTCCTGGATGTTGCCCCCTCTCACCTGCTGCGGCTCCTAGCCCGGTCTCTCTCTTTGGGATCTGCCTTTTGATTCCTTGACTGTTCTTTTGGGAGGATCTAGGGAGTTTGATGGGCTGGACAAGTGGACAGTTGTCAGAACAGGAAGTCCAGGATTCACACTCAGCTGAAAAGGGGGGAGGACTGTGGTGCTCCAGAGCTCCAATTACGCTTAAAACCCCACTGCTGTCAAATCCATTCCAGCTCATGGCGACCCCGTGTGTTACAGAGTAGAAGTGCTCCATAGGGCTTTCTTCGCTGTCATCTTTACAGAAGGATTGCCAGTCCTTTCTTCAGCAGTGCCACTGGGTAGCTTTGAACCGCCAGCCTTTTGGTTAGTTACTAGTGGTCGTTCGGTTGGTTCTGACTCATGGTGACCCCATGCATACAGAGTAGAACTGATCCATAGGGTATTGATGACTGTGAGCTTTATAGAAGCAGATCACGTGGTCTTTATTCCACAGCACTGAGGGGACGTGGGGAGGCGGCTTCAAACCACAAGTCTTGAGGTTAATTGTTATTGTTAGTTGTTATCGATTCTGACTTAAATAGTTTCCAAGGCTGTGGGGCTTTCAGAAGCAGATGGCCAGGCCTGTCTTCCAGGCACCTCTCTGTGGGTTTAAACCACCAACGATTTGGCTGGTATTTGAGTACTTAGCTGTTTGTCCCTCTTAGGGACTCCTTGTCAAGTGCCGTCGAGTTGGCTGGACTCAAAGCAAACCTGCATAGGATTTCCGAGGCTGTAAATCTTTGCAGGAGCAGAAGGCCTCACCTTTCTCCCACAGAATGGTTAATGGGCTTGAACCTGCAACCTTGTGATTCACGGGTCCTTAAGACAGCCACCACACTCCTCGGGACTTCTGAAGACTCATTAATACTAAAGCCCAAACCTGTTGCAATTGAGTTGATTCTCACTCATAGTGACCCTGTATAGGGTTTCCAGGGCAGTAAATCTTTACAGGAGCAGAATGCCTCATCTTTCTCCCAAGGAGCCCCGGTAGGCTTGAACCACTGAATTGTGGTCAGCAGTCCAGTGCTTATCCTATAATGCCATCAGGGCTCTTAAAGATCCACTAATACCAGTAAATAATGATAATTTTTTAAGTATCCAATTTGACTTAATAGTTGTTGTTAGCTGCCCTTGAGTTGATTCCAATTCAGGGCAACCTTGTGTTTTAGTTTCTAGACCTTTCTGCCGTAGTGCCACTTGTGGGTTCAAACTGTCAACCTTTAGGTTAGTTGTGCCATCGAGTTGGCGCTGACTCATAGTGGCCCTGTTTAGGGTTTCCAGGAAATGGCTGGTGGGTTTGAGCCCCTGACTTTGCTGTTAGCAGTGCAGTGCTTATCTTACAGCGCCACACCAAGTTAGTAGATGAGCTCAAGCCATTTGTGCCACCCAGGGACCTTTGAAACTGTTCAGGGACTCGCTGCTAGCCCTTCATACCAATGCCCCAGCAAGCAGCCCAGAGTTCTAGGGTCCCCCCTCACCCTGTCCTCCCTTCCTACTTGTCAGGGTTACTGGACCTGGAGGACGATGGGGACCTCATCACGGTGGAGTTCGATGACGGAGACACGGGAAGGATTCCACTATCGCATATCCGTCTTCTGCCTCCCGACTACAAGATCCAGTGTAAGTGCTGAGCCTGCTGCCTCCTGGGGCACAGAGCCCCACATGCCAGCTCTGCCACCCAGTGTTGGGCTGCCACTGGGTGCTCAACCATGAAGACAGAAATGGCAGAAGCCATGGGCTGGGAGAGGGGGTCTTGAGCAGCCCCTTCTTTTCTCTGTATAGATCCCTGGCTCTCCCTGTTGTGTTTTCCGGGCTTCATGGCCCGCTGAGTCCCCGCCTCTGACCTGAGTAGCTGGGGCTCCTGTCCCCCGTGGCTGACATGAAGAGACTGGGATACAGGGGCAAAGATGTGATTTACCCAGGGCCCCATATATGTAAGAGGCAGACCCAGGTTTGGATGCGTGACTGCCCAGTTTCTAGAATTTGCTTCTATTTGTGATTCTGGACGTATTCCCATTAGAGCACAGACCACAGTGCCTCCATATTGGCTGTCTGTCTATCCCTGACTGCAGACACTTATGAGCTAAGTCCCCACAGACTGTCCGGGGGTTCACCGTGCCCCCTTTCCCATAGCCTGGTAAAGGCAAAGCCAGCCATCCCCAGCCTGAGCCTTTGTCTGCTGTCTCCTATAGGTGCTGAACCATCCCCAGCGCTCCTGGTACCAAGCGCCAAGCGCCGCATCCGAAAAACCAGCAAAGACGCAGGGGAAGGCAAAGACGGGGGCACGGCAGGGGCAGAGGAGCCCAGAACCAAGGCCAGAGGTCGAGGCCGGAAGCCCAGCACCAAGGCCAAGGGTGGTACGTGGGGCTGTGTTGACGGGCAGGGCCGCCCAGGTCTCTGTTTGGGTAACCACTTCCATCTTTGTTACAGTAAGGGCCATGTGGAGCAGTGGACAGATTTGGAAACAGGCTCTGGGAAGGAAATTGGTCTATGGAGGGTTGTTCCAGGCCAGAGACGGGGGCAGATGTGTTTCACTCCAAAATTGAGGGAACGGGGTTGGGGGGTCAAGTTGAGACCACCAGAAGGCAATGTTGGGCCACACGCGTTCGGGTGGGTGTCTGTGCCCTGCCCCCATTCCCCATAGGAGTTGTTAGAGCTGGCTTCACCCCCACCCCACCCTGACCCAATGGCGACCTCTTGATGGCTGGATTTGAACGGCCAACTTCAGCTAGTAGCCGTTTTCTCATCTCTTCTAGATAAAGCTACTGTCCTAGAGGAGGAAGGCCCCACGGATGAGGTCCCCAGCACCCCATTGGCCCTGGAGCCCATCGGCAGCCCCAGTTCCAAGAAAAGCCCCCCTGAGCCCACAGAGAAGCGGCCCAAAGTCCCCAAGGCCCGCCCATCACCCCCTCAGCCCAGCCCTGTGCCCCCCACCTTCCCTGGCTGCCCGGCTCCCGAGCCCTTTGGAGAGGGGCATGAGCCCCCTGCGGCCGTGGCTCTCACCATGCCTGCCACCCGCCCCAAACCCAAGAAGGCACGTGCAGCTGAAGAAGGCTCCAAGGGCCCCAGGAGGCCGGCTGAGGAGGCCGAGCTGTTGATCAAGTTGGACCACGAGGGCGTGACGTCGCCCAAGAGCAAGAAAGCCAAGGAGGCTCTGCTGCTACGAGAGGACACAGCTGCGGGCGCCTGGCAGGAGCCCAAGGGCCTCCCAAGCCTGGCCGGCTTCCCCCCGGCCACCGCTGGGGAGCTCAAGCCCGGGCGACCCAAGGGCCTGGACGGTGAGCTGGCCCCGGAGTCCGGGCCCGGCTTGCAGTTTGAGGACTCCAGGGGCCCCGAGAGCCCAGATAAAGGCCAGGCCGAGCAGGACGCGGCCGAGGAGTCGGACAGCAGTGGCGGTAGTGGTAGCAGTAGCAGTAGTAGCAGCAGCAGCTCTGAGACGGAGGGCGAGGAGGAGGGTGGCAAGACTGGCGAGGAAGGCCGAGCTGGTGCGGGCCGGGCCTGTGGTGCCTCCAGTTCCAGGGCGTCGTCTTCTTCCTCTTCTTCATCTTCTTCCTCCTCCTCCTCTTCCTCCTCTTCGTCCTCTTCCTCATCCTCCTCATCCTCCTCTTCGTCTTCGTCTTCCTCCTCTTCCTCCTCCTCCTCTTCCTCCTCTTCGTCCTCTTCCTCATCCTCCTCATCCTCCTCTTCGTCTTCGTCTTCCTCCTCTTCCTCCTCCTCCTCTTCGTCCTCATCCTCGTCTTCATCGTCCTCCTCCACCACCGACGAGGATTCCTCCTGCAGCTCTGATGAAGAGGCCGCTCCAGCCCCTGCAGCTGCCCCCTCAGCCCAGCCTAGCCTCCCCAGCAAAACCTCCAAGCAGGCGGGCAAGGCTCGGACCACCGTCCACTCCCCTGGCAAGAAGGCACCAGCCCCTCAGCCCCCGCCGCCCCCACCGCCCCCTCAGCCTGCGCAGCCCAAGGCCCAGGCTGGGGCTGGGGGCAAGAGCCGGCCCAAAAAGCGAGAGGGCGTCCACCTCCCCACGACCAAAGAGCTGGCCAAGCGGCAGCGACTGCCGTCTGTGGAGAACCGGCCCAAGATCGCCGCCTTCCTGCCAGCCCGGCAGCTTTGGAAGTGGTTCGGGAAGCCCACCCAGGTACCCAGGGCTTCAGGCAGGTGGGGGCCTGGGAGGAGCAGGGGAGGGGTGTGCTGGAGCCCCATTTTACAGATATGTTTGCAGAGCCTTTGGTGTGGTGCTGTAAGATAAGCACTGGACTGCTAACCACAAGGTTGGCAGTTCAAACCCAATAGCTGCTCCTTGAAAACCCTCTACAGGGTCACTGTGAGTCAGAACAGAGTCAATGGCACTAAACAACACAACACAAGAGTTTCAGAGCTCAGGGACTTGAACCCAGATTATGTCTCCACAGACTGTGCTGGATTGGTTTCCTCTTGTGAGTTGGTTCCTACAGGGGTGCAGAATAAAACTGTGCTCTACAGGATCTTCAAGGGTATAACCTTCCCGAAGCAGATCACCAGGCCTTTCTTCCAAGGCGCCTCTGGGTGGGTTCAAACTGTACATACTCATTTGAACCACCCAGTGATTCCTGTTGATTTGCCTGGGCTGTCATAAGGAAGTGCAACAAAGCTCATGCCGTAAACTCTCTTAAGATTGTGGGGACAGACACACAGCACCTAGCGGCCAGGTCAGGACAGAGTTCTCATGGGTCATCCTGAGTTTGTAGAATCTGACAGGATCTTTCCTGACGGCTTCAGTAAGTAGCCATACACTCCACACTCCTGATACTTAACCAGAGACTCTAGAGCTCTGATCCTGGATGGCGCATGAGCGGAGAGCAAATGTGTCTATCATAGGACCGTCCCCACCATCCTACCCCGTTTCTCATTCTAGCATCTGCCACCCATAGGTTTCAATGTCCAGACCAACAAGGGTGCTCACAGCCACAAAGGATAGTAACTTAACTAGGGAGACAGATGTGAGCATATAGTGAAATTGATTGGTCTCCTTAACAGAAATGCCCAGGGTTCCTGGCTTCAGGAACAGGTGAATCCAGGGACTCAGAACATTCTCATGTCTATAATTTATGTCACACTTCTGTCCTTTCTGTGGGCTCCACCTCCCAGCTTATGTGCTCTCAGTCTAGAAGCTAGACAAGATAATGAGAAGAAAGTGTCTCCCAGTAGTCTCTGAATTTGGGCACATGAGCCCAGCCCTAAGTCAATCACAATGACCAGGAAAATAGAATGTTCTAATTGGTCACAGCAAGTCATGTGTCCACATCCTTGTGGCTAGAGATTGAGCTAATCCCCGTGAGTCAACTTCACCCTTGTTTTAGAATCGGCGTCTGGGATAAGGGTCCACTTTTTAAGCATAAACATCGTATGAGCCATGCTGCTAATAGACTACTGTTCCGTGAGGGGCCACAGCAAACCGAGATGCTGAAATCAGTTAGAGCGCAGTCCTGCTGGGATTCACTAGGGGGCACCATCTGTGAAGCCTGGCAGCCTTCCTGTGGTCACACTGCTCCGGAGCAGGATCCTTAATTTATGGTTTCTATGATTCAGTATGTGACAAGAGAAGGAAGTGGCTTCTCCATGCCAGGGGCTTCCTTCCCTGCCCCCAGATTTTAAAAACAACTCTGTTTGTCGTTGAGATTGCACAGCAGAACATACTAGAACTCAACAGCTTTCCTAAGTACGTTCCAGTGACATTACATTAGTTGAATCAATTTGACATGGATTAAGTCTTGGAATTGTGCCCATTCCTACCCTCCTTTTCTGAGTTGTTCCTCCATCATTAGCCTGAACTCACTGCCCCCTAACTAACCTCTCCAGCTTCTATTGTGAGTTTGAGCCCACATAGATCTTAAAAGAGCACAATGCTTAAACTAAGGCAGACATTCTTTGCTAGCTGAGATACATTAATGTTGGTTGTGAACAGACTTCAGGGGATATTTTTGGTTTAAGGTTAAAGATAACTTGGGGTAATCACTTCAGGGATTCATCCAGCTTCAGTGGATCCAGAAAGCCTGAATTCCATAATTTGAAAATCTGTTCCTACAGTTTCTCCCTTTTAATCAGTATTCTTTTGTAGAATCATTAATCAAAGAGTTCCGTAATCATAGCCAGAAACCTCCAGATTTGACAGGTGACTTAGTGAGGATGAGGAGAAGGGATTCCAGGAGGCAGCACCTGCCTGGTCAAAGGTCAGAGGGTACACAGTATAGTTTTCAGGTGCCCCATGGCGGCCTTAGGGGTGGGTGGAGGACTGCCTGTGCTGACTGGCCTGTCCTACAGCGTCGCGGTATGAAGGGCAAGGCACGCAAGCTCTTCTACAAGGCCATCGTGCGCGGCAAGGAGATGATCCGCATCGGAGACTGTGCCGTCTTCCTTTCTGCCGGCCGCCCCAACCTGCCCTACATTGGCCGCATCCAGAGTATGTGGGAGTCCTGGGGCAATAACATGGTGGTCCGCGTCAAGTGGTTTTACCACCCTGAGGAGACTAGCCCTGGCAAGCAGTTCCACGAGGCCCAGGTGAGCCCCTGCCACTGTCCCAGCCCTAGGTAAACCTCAGGGTCACATGAACCCTTTGGGCCTGGCCCAGAGCCCTTGCCCAGGTCCGTGGAGTCTGGGGGTCATTGGGCTGATCAGGGAGGTCTCCTGGGAGCCAGGCAGTCCCTGGTGGGTGTTTCTTTTAGGACAGTGGCCCTGACAGAATGGGGGAGGTTGCAGCCCAGACCCCCACCCCATATGTTCACTGTGGGCTTGCTCTACCCTGGGGTTGAGCATCAGCTCAACTAGCCTGGCTCTCTCCCTCCTATTGCTCGGGCAGCCCTGGGACCAGAAGTCCGGCCGGAGCCTCCCCGCCCTGCAGGCCTCCAGCCAGAGGAAAGACTTCATGGAGGTAGGGGGCTGGGGACCCTGGGAAGAGGATACAACCTCTAGACCCTCCTGAATGTGGCCTGGTGGGAGTGGGCTCCCCACAGGGAAAGAGGACAGAGCAGCCAGCTGTGTCCTACTTGGCCCCTTCCTCTCCCACTGTCTGCCCTTCATTTCCTGGTCCCCATCTCTGCTGGCCACTGCCCCAGACTCGTGTCTCCATCATCTGGTCTGTTTCCGTCTGTCTCTCCTGGTCTCCATTCTCTGTCTTACCCGGTCCCCAGGTCTCTCCTGGCCCTCTGTGTATCTCCATCTCTCGATCTCTGCTTTCCTGCTCCAGGAGTGGGTGGGGGGAGGGCTCTCCTCTCTTCCTGACTGACCCATCCTGCCGCCTGGCCCCCCTGCAGCGTGCCCTGTATCAGTCTTCGCACGTGGATGAGAACGATGTGCAGACCGTGTCCCACAAGTGCCTGGTGGTGGGCCTGGAGCAGTACGAGCAGATGCTCAAGACTAAGAGGTACCAGGACAGCGAGGGCCTGTACTACCTCGCGGGCACCTACGAGCCCACCACGGGCATGATCTTCTCCACCGATGGCGTGCCTGTACTCTGCTGAGTGCCGGCCGCCCCACCAAGGGCTCCGCCAGCTGCCTTGCCCCCGAGGCCCCGGGGACTCTTCATATCACTGCCACGGCGTGACGGGGCACATGCCCACGGCCTAGTGCATGCAATGTGTCCGTGGGCATGTGTGAGCGCGGTGTGTACATGTGTGTGCCCGTATGCATGCACGTGTGTGCTCACGTGTGCACACGCCTCCAGACCCCCCCCTTTTAGTCCCCTCAGTGCCCCCAGTCAGGGGCTTCTCCCAACGATCAGGGTATACCCTCAGGCCACCCCAGCACCTCGTAAGCACTTGGCCCCAGGCCCATGATGCCAGCTGGGCCTCCAAGACTCAGACCGGGGGATTCAGTGGTGAGGAGGGGTTTCCAAGGAACCACCCTGCCTCGGGTCCTCCTGAGGCTGCTGCCATGGCCCAGCCACCTCAGCATGGAGCCCATCCCAAGGCCTCCTGGCACAGGAGGGGCAGCTCACCTCACCAACGGTGCCGGGCCGACTCCTGGATGCCCTGCCAGGAGCCCGGGCCTCTGTCCTCTCAGGATGGCCTGGAACTTGGGGAACACAGCCAGGTGAGGGCAGAGCCCTGGAGCATGGGAAAGGCACCAAGTGGTGGCTAGGCGCAGGCTGCTCCCTGGCCTTAAACCCTCACACTACAGATAACCCCATTGGTGCTGACACCCTTGCCCCATCCACCCCTTCACGGCCAGGACTCGGCCACCCCAGCCCCAGGAGGCACTTCTTAACCTGTACAGTTTTATTGTACCAAGAGACTCTCGTCCACCCCCTTGTACCATAGACCTTTAAATGGAGTCAACTTTTTAATTATATATATAAAGATAAATATATATAAATATAAACTTTTTAAAACTGTGAAAAAAATAGCTATGAAATTCTAAAAAGCAAACACATTCTGGTGTGCAGGATATTTTTTATTTCTTATTAGATTGTGAGTGCCAAACAGCCGGCGTCACCCCGTGTCCCCATGCACACCCCTCCAGCCTGCCTGCCCCTCAGCCTCCCATTGGCGCCCCTCCCCTCCTGCCCCCGGCCCCATACTGTACTTGCCCCCTTGATGGATAAGGAGCTAGAAGAGCAGAAAGAAGACAGGCGCAGGGGAGAGGGGAAGGGGATCGGCCCACTGTGTGAGCCCTCCATCCCCCGACTCAGAGAGCACTTAGTCCCCCATGCCTTCCAGGGAAACAGGAATGCTTGCCCAGACAATCTTGAGGGAAGGAAAAGCCAGACTTTGGTTATGTTTTTTGGGGGATTATTGTTTTTGTTTGTCCTTTTTTTTTTTTAAGTTTCTTTTGGAATTTTGTTTGTTGGCGAACTCTGTGTGATCTTTTTTCATAAAAAAAAAAAAAAGAAAAAGAAAAGAAAAAAAGATTTCATTGGAAAAGTGCCATTGTCAGAGTGATTAATTTCAGGGATTGGTAGGGTGCGGTGGGCAGTGGGTGTTTGGGAACGGAGGTGAAGGGAACACAGTGTGGTACCTGGTGTTGGTGCCCCTGGCAGGCAGGTCAGCATTTCAGAGCACAGAAAGACTGATCCAAGGAACCCTGGTGGTGCAGTAGGTAAAGCTAACTCAAAGGTCAGTGGTTCGAACCCACTAGCTGCTCTGCTTCCATAAAGGTTCACAGCTTCGAAATCCCTACGAAGCAGTGAAAGTCAGTCCTGCAGGATCATCCCTGTGAATCAGGCTTGGTTTTAGAAAGCTCAGTCCACCCAAGGTTAGTCACTGGCCACATGTGCTGATCTTTAAATTGGAATTAATTTAAATGAGGTAGCAGCAGTGGTTCTGTGGTAAAATTCTTGCCGCCTTTGCAGGGAACCTGGGTTCTATTCCTGGTCAATGTACCTCATGCATAGCCACCCTTCAGCTGTCCATTTAGAGTCCCTTCTAGACTAAGATTCATAGAAAAGGCCTGGAAATCTACTTATAAAAATCAACCAGCGAAAGCCCTAGGGATTACTAGGGTCCAGTCTTGCTGTGCATGGAGTGGCCAGGAATTAGAGGCCAGCTGAATGACAGCTGACAACAATTTAAATGAAAGCAAAGTTGAATTCTTCAGCTTCACTGGCCACATTTTCACTGTTTATTTGATTGTGTAAGTTTGAAAGTCTGGGAACCCGTGTACAGAGTAAATGATAGAATTTCTCATAAATGATAGAATCCCTCATCCACATGCATAATAAAATGACTGCTTACCACGCTTTTGCTCTCCCTCCCGGAACCTCTCTTCCAACCTACCGGAAATTCCTCTCTCCCTACCGGTAAGTCATCCCTAGTCAACCGATCACCTACCTCCACTAATCTCAACCCAGCCCTCCTCTTGTCAAGTGCCATCGAGTCAGAAACGACTCATAGTGACCCCATGCACAGCAGAACAAAACAATGTCCAATCTTGGGCCAACCTCACTACTGCTGCCACACTTGACGCCATCAATGATGCCACCTGGCCGATCCATCTCATTGGGGGTCTTCCTCTTTTTCTCTGACC